ATCGTGTGCTGGTCCTGGACCCTCCTGGTGCGGGGACCCCAGTCCCTGTGATCCCAAATCCCTCCTTCCTCCCTTCCTTCTCCTTCCTCCCTTCCTTCTCCTTGCCTCGGGCGCAAGGCCTTCCCTGTCCGCTGGGCTCCTCGCCTCCACTGCCGGCCTGCCTGGCTTCTGTCAGTTCTCCACCCGCTGGGTCTTGCCCCCAGGCCCCTCCTCAGGCCGTCCCCCTGCCGGGAGCCTTCTCTCTCCTGGGGACCCCTACCCCTGGGCTCCTCCACAGTCGTCGTGGCCAGAGCGCTCTGCCCCTGCGCCTGCTGTGCTGGGTGTGAGCGGGTGTGAGCGGCGTCCACCTTTCTGCCCGGGAGCCACAGTGAAGGACGCACGCTTCTGTGTGGACACGTGCCCTTTGTGAGCACGCAAAACCCGGACCAACCCCGGAGAATGTCAGCGTTAGGCAGTAAAGCTAAGTAGTGTCTTTTCTTCTGGTGTGTTGGCAGCGTGCTCCTCACGATCCTCAGAGTTCGGGGCTTGCTGGGGTTGCCGCCCGCTCTGAGAAGCGGTCTCTGAAGGACTGCCCCAGCCGTGCAGCCCGGCGTCTGTCCCAGTCACCTTCATGCCCTCCCGTGCCCTCTGCGTCCTGCCATCAAGCACCGTGCCGTCAGGGGAGACTGGGGGCAAGTGGGGTGCAGGGGAGGGCTGTGCCGGCGGTCACCGCACCCCTGGCTACGCTGAGGGGTTGTGGGGAGGCCCTGTAGGACGGCGGGGTTGACTTAGGTGTTGAAGTGCACGGAGGCACCTGCAGGAGGGAAGGAGGTGAGGACGGGGTTTCCTGAGTCCCCGGGTCCACGTGCCTGGAGCTCGGGCGCTGGGCACGGGTGGCGCACGGGTGGCGCGGGGGTGGGTGCAGGTTCTGTGTGTTAGGCCGTGGGGATCTGGAGCGGCTCCGCCTGCCTGGGGTTCCACGAGAGGAGCATTTCTCCTTTGATGGGGCTCTCAAGGCAGCGCACATCGTGCTGGATGCCATGGCGTGTGTATGACGACGGTGTACGCATTGATCCACGTCAGGTGGCCGGGCCCTCTGCACTGCGCCTTCCTGACGACACCGCTTTGCCGCGTCGTCCTGTTGGCAGTAATGCGTTCTGCCTGTAGACGTGGCGGCCCACACTTGAGTGCCTGCTGAGGTTTGGCACGAGAAGTGTGGTGGGCGGGCAAGTGGATCGCCATAACAGGACCCGGGAGTCCAGGATCCGTGTCCCAAGGCCACCTTCGGGGCGTCCGAGGCTGGTTCCTCCCGGAGCCCCAGAGGGAGTCCGTCCGTGGCCTCTTCCAGCTCCTGGTGGCTGCGGCCACCCCGGGCCTGTGGCTCGTCACCCGCCATCCTCTGTGCTGGGCCCCCTCCTCCTCCCTCCCATGTGGACACTGATGCTCCCCATCTTGAGGTCCCTGGTCGCATCCACAGGCCCCTTCTGGTCACTTCTGCCTTTTTCCTTTCAGATGGCATCTCCGGATACCCTTGTGTGTGTCTGTGTTCTTGGGACAGTCTGTCTGAGAATTGATCTGTACCAGAGGATGGGCTGTGTCACTGTCACTGAGGGGGGCAGCTGTCAGGTCCACTCCGTTGGTGACCCCGAGGCAGCCTGTGTCCAAGGTGGGGAGCCTTCCTGCCGCTGGTGGAGCTGGCGGAGCCCAGACCCGAGCTGTCAGGGTGCTTGCTTCCCCGTGGTCCCATCACATCTGGAATCCTAGCTCGAATGAGTGTTGAATAAACTATTTCCCAGGGCACCCGGGTAGGTCAGTGTTAAGCATCCGACTTCGACTCAGGTCATGATCTCACAGTTCACGAGTTCAAGCCCCACCCCGCATCGGGCTCTGTGCTGATGGCTCGGAGCCTGGGGCTGCTTCGGATTATGTGTCTCCCTCCCTCTCAGTCCCTCCCCCACTCACGCTCTGTCTCTCTCTCAAAAAAAAAAAAAAAAAAAAAAAAAAAAAAAAAAAAAAAAAAGTTATTTCTCTGTTAGATTATAAATGTATGTGGAGAAGTCAGTCTGAAATATGTAAATTTGGAAACAAAGCTTTTCTTGTTGGTTCCGGAGGTTGCTGGTGTTTACAGAAAGTTCAGGCTGAACGTGGCAGGTCTCAAGGTGCCGTTTGGCCTTCCTGGTGGCCTCTCACTGTCCGTGCCAGTTCATTTATTGAACAAAAGCACGGGTACCTGGCAGAGTGCCTGGGGGACATGGAAGGCCGTCTCAAAGGTTTGTCAGTCGAGAGTGGGGTCTTCAAAGAGTAAGGGCTGCCTGGGGAGGGGCCTCGAACCTCCGCCAGGAGGCCCTGTGTAGACAGCCGCGAGCCGGGTAGTGTGTGCAAGCCAGGTCTCGTGTCGCAGTCACAGAACCTCTGAACCTCACGTGGGCTCTTTGCTGTTTTGGCTTGAGCTTCCACTTTGAGCCTGATCCCATTGCTTCCTTACCTGGGGCTGGGTAGGTGCGCGTCCCCGCGAGGGAGAACCCGGCTTTGTGCGAGGAGCCTCACTGAGGGTGGAGATGGGGAAACCCTGTGGGGTGTGTGTGCAAGGTCCAGGTTGTGTACATAGCTGTTCTTTCCCAGACCACCTCCTCCCGCCCTGCGCCTCCTTCCCGCGCTCTCCCCGTGAGAACCGGGGCTCAGTGCTTCTCACTCGTCCCGTTGGGGGTGCTGGTACCCACGCGCGGCTTGTCCGCGGCAGCCACGGCCGGGCCACTGAAACCTCTGTGTCGTGGGTCCGTCAGGGCCCGCACTCGGCCAAGTAACGAGCCAGTCGTGTCCAAGAAATGAGCAGATTTTCTTTCTCTTTCTGTTTCTGTTTCCCTTTCTGAGCAGCTGCTCTGCAATGGCTTTTTCTGCAAACACGGCCACCCTTGTGAGAGGTCTTGCTGGGGCGATGGTGGGCACCCATGCAGGCACTGCGGTCGCCGCCACCGGGATACACAGCACAGGGAAGACGCTGCCCGTGGTCCCGAGTAGACACTGAGCCTGTGAGCAGGTGTTTATGCCCGGCTCCCGGGGCTGCTCGGTGGAGCTGGGGGGGGGGGGGGGGGGGGGGGGGGGGGGGGCCGGTATGTGCTGATGCAGCAGCAGAAACCGAAGCGCGTTAAGTAGTTTCTCTGCGTTCGTATTTTTAAAGCACTTTGATACGGTTCATATCAGGGAAAGACAGACAGTCATGCTTTAGAAACACCTAGAGCATTGAGACATGACTGTCGTACGTGAGGGTGCCCTCCGTCTGCTCCCCACAGACGTGCGGCCACCGCTCCCGCCCCAGTGCCTTCAGCCACACGACACGTTTCTCCCTCGTCTGTAATTTAACCACCTTATCAGGTGTAATCTACCTACAATAAACTCACTTGTGTTAGGTGTACAGGCTGGTGGGTTTTCAGGTTACGCAACCGTGGTTGCGTAAACTTCTCCGTGATGGAGGCTTGGAGCATTTCCGTGGCCCCCCCAGCCCCCTGGGCCCCTTGCGCCGACCTCTCCCAAACCCTGGTCCCTGCAGCCCCTGGTCCATGCTCCGCCGTCGTCTCTGGTGAGTCACATGGACGAAGTCACGCTGTGTGTATTCTTTTGTCCTCATCCTTCGCTGAGCACGGTCTCTCTGGGACTCTTGCGCATTGGGGAGAGTTTCATATTTCATTCCCTTTTATCGCTGAACAGCATGTAGAGTGTGTGGACGTGTCCCGCTGGGTGACCCCCTCACCACGGATGTGCTTGGGGCTTGTACCCCGTTTGTGGCTGCTATGAATAAGGTCCGGTCCTGTGTGCAGACACGGTCTTGTTCCTGCAGGTGAACACCTGGGCTTGGGGTCAGTTGTGGGGTCGCTCAGCTATGTGTCGATCCAGCGGTGTAAGCTGCGCATCTTCGGCCCCGCACAGGCCTCCTCGCCTTGACCTTCCCGCAGGTGACTGGTCACTTACAAGTCTTAACCACACGCGCATGTACAGCGTCTGTTACCACTGTGACCTTGAAGATTTAAAATACGTCACTTTAGGGGCGCTTGGGGGGCTCAGTGGGTTAAGCGTCTGACTTCGGCTCAGGTCATGATCTAACGGTTCGTGAGTTCGAGCCCCGCCTCAGGCTCTGTGTTGACGGCTGAGCCTGGAGCCTGCTTCGGGTTCTGTGCCTCCCAATCTCTCTGCCCCTCCCCTGCTCATGCTCTGTCTCTTTCTGTCTCTCAAAAGTAAGTAAACGTTAGAAAGTTTTTTTTTTTTAATTTTAAAACATGTCACGTGTACACGTCATTGTTTGATTTTCTTTCTTTTTTCGCTCAGCTTTTATTTTTTTATTTTTTATTTTTTTTTTAATTTTTTTTTCAACGTTTTTTATGTATTTTTGGGACAGAGAGAGAGCATGAACGGGGGAGGGGCAGAGAGAGAGGGAGACACAGAATCGGAAACAGGCTCCAGGCTCTGAGCCATCAGCCCAGAGCCTGACGCGGGGCTCGAACTCCCGGACCGCGAGATCATGACCTGGCTGAAGTCGGGACGCTTAACCGACTGCGCCACCCAGGCGCCCCTCGCTCAGCTTTTAAAACACACTTGCCCTGTGCCACGTGTTGCTTCCTCTGGGGTACTCTGCGCCAGGACGGGAACATGTCTCCGTCTCTGGTGGATCTTGGCACCTCGAGTGGTGGCCACGGGCACAAGCGAGCGTTTGCGGGGTGGACGCACTCCCGTTCCGCGGTGGTGTATTTACCGCGTCTGTTCCGGCAGCTGTCAGGCTCCCACCATCACGTTGTTGCCGGAATGAACGGTGCTGCCATGGGCACTCCCCTCCGTCTTCCTGCCCACGTCTGGGAACTTGGGAACTGCTGGGTCACGGGCTGGCAGCTCTTAAACCGAGCCGTGTGCTGCTGACTCCGCGTGGGGACTGCCCCTCCCTCCGTTTCCTCCGTTCGTTTTCACAGTTGTATACGTGAAGTTACATCTTGTTGTATGGTTCTTTCAACAACACGCTTCCTCTTTCCTGACAGAAATTCAATGTCATCTTTCCGTCCTGGGAGAGGACACGGTGAGAGTCGCAAGAGTGTGTTTTATACCAATGAAGAGTGGGAGCTTTTAGACCCGAATCCTAAGGACCTGGAGGAGTCAATGGTGCAGGAAGAGAGGAGGAAGCAGGCGCCCGAAGGAAACAAAGGTAGGACAGTCCCTGCTGCCTGACCCCCCTCCACCGGCCCCCAGGGGCGCGGGGACCCTTCCGTAGCAGGCGGTCCCAGAAGCGGGAGGCGCAGGGATTTGCATCCTGTCTGGGGGAGATGAGTCGTGAGGGCCTGTGAAGTTAGGGACGGGACATCCGGGGGTCCTGGTGCTCTTTACAGATGTATTGATTTTTTTTTTTAAACCTTGTGTTTACAGAATTCTGTGACAGACACGAAGGTAGAACGTGCAAGGTCACGGATTCTGGTGTGGCCTCGTCTGACTTTGTTGTGCCGTTGTGAAATCAGGGTCTCTCTTTCTTCCCAGCCCCTTCCCCTCCCCGTGCTCACCCACCATTATTTCAAAGTAAATTCTAGACGTCACTCCATTATATGTAAATGTTTCACCTAGTATGTATCTCTAAGAGATAACGACTCATCTTAAAGTTATGGCAGCGTGTTATTACACGTAGAAACAGTGAGTCTGATCTAATAGTCTAACCCTGCACTTGTTCCACAGCTGCGTGACCAGGAGGTGACACCAGGGGACAAGGGCACTCTGGGGCGGTGTACCCCTCTGGCCCCGCCCCCTGGAACCACACCCTGTCCTGTTCCCGCCGGTTTGGGGCTGGATTTCTGTTCGGGGGGGTTTGTCAGCCTGACCCCGTCTGTACAGCCGGTTGTGACGCTCTGTCCAGGGATCCACGAGGGAATGTTGCTGTTTTCATGTAAAACGACAATAATACTGAAATTTTGCCTTATGTGTGATTCTAGCGTGGCCTGGCAGGAGGAGGCGGGATTTTAGGAAATGTTTATGGGCGGGGGGG